CCACTGCGGGCCCCTAACGGGATCCTCACTTTTCCTTCTAGCCTGAGGACTCTGAGGACTGTCCTGTTTGGCTTTGTCCCGGTGCTTGCCGGGCCCCTGGCTCATCGCGTCTTTCAGGAAATGCTTGTAACACAAGGAAGTAAGCGATTCGGGGGTCCCTGGGGTTCTTGGCCTGAGGGGTCTGCGGAACACAGTGGCTGGAAGAGCCGACGGCGGTAGCGTTTCAGGAGGGGACGGGCGCAGCAGCCACGCCAGGAGACAGGTGTGTGAGGGACACTCAATGGTGCAGTTTCACATGGTGACAAAAGGGACAGCACACAGGCTAGAGCTGCATGTTCTGTTTTCCTTGTTGTTTAACGACCTTTCTGCTTTCCCCTCGTTTCTGCCCTTTTCTGATTGCTGGTTCCCTGCTTCTCGGGGGCAGGCTGCTTCCTCGCCATTCCTGTGAGGATCGGGGGCGAGACAGTTCACGAGTAAAGATATCTGTCATTATTATTATTACCACTGTTAGTCTGACCAGTGGTGATGTCCTTAGTAAACCCCTAGGAGCATAAAGATAAAGACCATGTCGGGTTGACATTGTCCCCTTTACTTGTAAATTCCCATTCTTGGAAATTTGGCAGTCTTGGACTAACAAGTGTCCATTTGGCAGCTAATGAGATGAGGCTGCGAACCAGCAAAGTCTCAAAAGCGGCAGAGACCAGGCGTCACGCACTGCCCCTGCATGACCATGTCCAGAGACGTGCATCATGGAAGTGCGTGCTCGGAGCCTGCGCAGCCCCTGGGGACAGCCCACTCTTCCTGGGGGACGCCGACTGTGTGCGGGAAGGGGCTGAGTAAATGGCGCCTCCTCAAAAAGTTTCATGCTAAGTAGCCCCAGGTTCTCCCGTGGCTGTATGTCCTCTCTTCCCAGAGACGCTTGACATTTCTTGGGCACCTTCCCTCCCTCCACCCTACTGAGTATATGCGAGGTTACGATAGTCTTTGATTTGAGCGAACAAATTTAATCAGGCAAGGGAATGGAGTGCAAATCCAAAGATCAAGAATGTGCTTTCTTCTTACTTCCTTCTCTATTTCATTTTCCTCTCATTCTCTTTATCCCCCACCACGAGAAAAGTCACCCCAGACTTCCTGCTCAGATAAGTATCAGGCCTTGCATGCTTCCTTCCCCAGCAGATCGAACTACATGAGTAAGAAGCAGCTCACTTGAGTTATCATTTTGTCAACCAGAAACAAGCTCAGGAAATGTGTCTTTCTTACCCCTCCTCCCCCCACCCCACCCAACAGGCCTTAATGGAAAATTCCCCATGGAGGCCCAAGGGCCACCACAGGGGTGTCCCACTGGGGCCTGCTGGCCAGGCTGAGGAACCATCCCAGGAAACCCCCTGAGATCACAGCTTTCCATAAACACACTTGAAATGCCATTTCCTGAGTACCCTTTGAGGTTTCTCCCTCCTTGTTATAAGTTCAAGATACAGCACTTAAAAGTTCCCCTGTAAATTCTAGATCACTTGAGATTTTATATGTTGGCCAAACGCCGTGTTGACACAGAACTTTGTCAGCCACATAAAATGGAACAACCTCTACTCCCTTAAAAGCGTCACTTGGTTGACAGTACACAGAACACCAGTTCTGTTTTCGAACTGGAAAAACACCATGGTGTACATCTGCCGATGGCAGGAAAATGGGTCTGTGGGTTCACAGATAATTTCAGTGACCGTGTTAAGGTAAAGTGTGTATGTCACTGTTGGCATGACACGTTCCCTGTGTGTGAGCTGTCCCAGGCACTGGGGATGTGGATTCGAGATGCCAGGCCAGGAGGGGGAGGGACCTGGACCAGAAACCCAAAAACCCAGGTTCCCGTTTGAGCCGAGCCGCTTACCGGTACCGTGGCTTGGGGAAGCCCCTTAACCTCTCTGAGCTCAGTTTTCTCATTTGGTGTAAAAACCACCGTTGCCTATCACATAGATTGCGCTGAGAATTAAATAAAATATATATGTGAATGGGGACAGCTTATGTGGAAACTCTAAAACCCTGTAAGATTTCCAGGAAGTAAACAAGTTTTACATCCAAGAGTGAACAAAACTGGACATTTATTCTAACCAGATGGCTTATTTCATGTCTTTGTTGGGCGCTTCCTACATCAAATGTTTTGTTTTCGTTTTTATATTTGCCTCTGGGACAAAAGAAAAGCATGCACAGTTTTCCCTTGCCAGGTTCAACAAACACTTTTCTGGCATGATAACTACTTTTAATCAGCCACGTTAAAGCCAGTCAACATGAAAACTGGCAACACAGACAAAGGTAGTTTAAACATTCATTGGCAGCATACCCACTAATGTCACTGTGTTTGCTTTGTGTAGATACGGGCGCAAATGAACGTTTGAGTGCAGAGCCTAAAACTCCCTCTGTGTGCATTGTCGCCGTAGCCCACTCACTCCTCAAAACAATCCTGGGAGATTAGCGATTCCTTCCCTCTCCCTTCCACAGTTGCAGGGGCACGGCTCAATCAGCATTGTTGACACGCCCAGCGTAACACCAGAAGTGGAGGAACTGAGCGTCAAAAACATTTTCAGACACAAAATGCTGAGAAATAAATAATATAGTCTATGTGACTTTATTATTAATTAATATATGGTAATATATATTAATCAGCACATGCATATGTATAATTTCCCCCTAACATAACCAGTAATGCCCTAGAGCAGGGTTGCCAACTGCAGCCCCCAAAGGCCAAATCTTTTTACGGGTAAAGTTTTATTGGAACAGCACACTCATTCATGTATGTATTAAATGTGGTCGCTTTCACGCTGCAACCACAGAGCTGGGTAGTTGTGACAGAGACTCTGTGGCTCACAAAGTGGAAAATATTTACTCTCTGCCCCTTAACAGGAAAAGCTGACGGAGCCCCGCCCTAGGTTTATTCAATGGCAGTCTTCTTCTAGCCATCGAAAGTGCACAGGCCCCCTTTGCCCTCCATGCCTGCGGCAGAAGGTCTCTTCTGTGCATCTGCTGTATCCTGGGCCCCTCTGTCAAGACAGGACACGCACTCCCTGAACCATAGTTGTGTGTTGACTTGGCCACTGCCCCCAGACTGTGAGCTCCTCGAGGGCGGGCACCGTGGGTTATTCCCGTGAACAGTCACAGCCGCAGCCCAGCAGGTGCTTCTTGACTGAAGGTTGAGGAGATTCCGTCACTGTGCTCTCAGAGTCTTGCGTCTGCTCAGGGACACAGATTCCTTAGCGTCCGTGAGACAGACCACAGTGCGGGGAAGCCAGAGTGCCCTGGGAGCCCACAGAGGGGCACTGGGCCCTGCCTTGAGGGCCTGAAGGGAGTAAATAGGAAGTAAGTGCCTAAGCTGATTCTTGAAGGATTAACCAGGCCCTCGGAGGGTGGGGGGGCACAAAAAGGACAGCACATGGAAAGGCCTGGAAGGGAGAGGCTGCACGGTGTGGATGAAGTAGAGCTCTCAGCAGTCAGCGGCGTGGAGAAGGGTACTTCTGGCCAGTGTCTGGACATTGCTTTGTGTGGTCCATACTGCAGTGGTGACCACGCGGGTCTGGCCCGAGTGGTGGCTTGTGTGGAACCACCTACAATTCTGTATATTTAGGAGTCGTTTATTCCAGGCCAGGGCTTCTTATCAGCAATTCCACAGATAGGGAAGTACATCTGTCCCTTGGCATCCTCAGGGCATTGGTTACAGGACCTCCTGAGGATACCAAAATCCACACGTGCTCAAGTCCCTGATATAAAATGGCATAGTATTTGCATATAACCTACGCACATCCTCCTGTATACTTTAAATCATCTCTAGATTGCTTATAATACCTAATACAATGTAAATGCTATGTAAATATTTGTTATACTCTATTGTTTAGGGACTAATAGCAAAGAAAAAAATCTGTATACGTTCAGTGCAGATGCAACTTGTTCATTCTTTTACCGAACATTTTTGATCCACAGTTGGTTGAATCCATGGATGCAGAAGCCCAGGATATGGAGGCCCACTGTATTTCCCTGTTTGGGGATCTGTGCTGCACAGTTTAGAGGCCCGGTGCATGCCAAGCAGTAGGACATAATTAAAGGGAAACACACAAATGCTGGCAAATGCACTCAGTGGTATCTGGTACCCAACATCGTTAGCCTTGACTCAATATGGGTCATCCAGAAGCTTGAGCTGGTCCGAGTGCGGTGGGGTTTGCAACTCATTGATCACAACCAGTTACACATTCCTTTATTCCTTCTCCAGTCCCACTGCTTCACTTGACTTGCCTAAAAATAAAGAACCTTCAGATGGTAAAAGGACACATTTAGGAAAAACATACAATTCCTTAAAAGAAAACCCATCCGTCGTCAATGGATGAATGGATAAGCAAAATGTGATCTGTTCAAACAGTGTGATATTATTCAGCCATAAACAGGAAGGAATTACTGATACATGCCATCATTTGGATGAGCCTTGAAGACATTCTGCTAATGAAGGAAGCCAGATGCAAGTCTGAGTCTATTTATGTGAAATATGCAGGACAGATACATTCATAGCGCCAGAGTGCGATCGGTGGTGGCCAGGGTGGGAGGGGGAAACCGGGAGCCACTGCTTAATGCACATGCACAGTTTCCTTTTGGGGTGATGAAAACGCTTTGGAACTAGATAGAGGTGGTGGTTGCGCAGCATTATCAATGTTCTAAATGCCATCGAATTGTTTATTTTAAAATGGTTTATTTTATGTTATGTCAATTTGCTTCAATTTTTTGCTTTGATTTTTAAAAATTAAAAAAAAAAACTACCTAGGAGTGAAAAAGAAATGTAATCTTCTTGACAATTAAATCCATTCAATAATTATGATGTTTTAAATTTTGGAAAAATTGATGAAACAAAACTCGGTGATGGACAGGCAGCCCCCACGGTTCAGAGCGAGGCGCGGGGACCCTGCAGCCCTGCCAGTGAGCGCCGAGGGACAACACACCTGATTGCTGTCTTTTGCTTGTCTCTCCCACAGAGGTGGAGAAAACCCGGTGCCAGCTGGAGCAAGAACACATTCTCGGGGCAGCGGGGCTGGTGGACCCACAGCAGCCCAGGCCACCGGGGCTGTTTGTCCCCGAGTGTGATGAGCATGGACACTATGTGCCCACTCAGTGCCACGGCAGCACCGGCTACTGTTGGTGTGTGGATCGTGACGGTCGTGAGGTGGAGGGCACGAGGACCAGACCCGGGATGAGGCCCCCGTGTAAGTAGGGGGCAGGCTGCGCTCGCTCGGGCTTGTGCCTGAGAAGGGCCTTGGGCCAGATTTGCTGAGCACGCACTTGGCACTGTCCTCAGTCTGGAACTGCTCCACAGGGGTCCTAGCCCTCTCCCTCCGCTCTGCACCCCTCTCCTCTACCCTCTCCTCAGCCGGCCCTCTCCTCTCCATCCTCTCTCCTCTCCCCACCCTCTCTGTCCGCTTACCCTCTTCTCTTCCTTTTCTGTGCACACGTGTGTTCCACGTAAACACCCAGAGGCCTGCTGCGCAGCCACCGCATGGTAGCAGAGGGACGTGTGTGCTCTGGGTCCCCCAAGTGAACTCTCTGCAGAGGGAGGCCCAGCAGTGGGGCCTGCTCTCATCCTTGCAACACAGCGAGCGAGCAGCGGGGCTGAGGCAGCACCCAGGTCTCCTGCTCTGATCATCATTTTGTTCTGGAAAGGCCAGAAGGGGCATGTGTCTGCTTGTCCGGTCCCAGACTGTCCCTCTGGCTCAGGGACAGAGCACACTGCACAGGGTGAGCTCGTCATGATGGGCTCCTCTGGCACTAAAACGCTCAGCAGCTTCCACTAGGATGGGACCCCCGCAGGCAGGGATTTCGGGGTTGCTGTTGTTACACTGTTTGCTGCTGCTGTCGCTCTCACCCCACCGTCCACAGCAGAGCATGAATAGCCAAGTTATTGCTATTAAAAATAGCCAAGCCATTTTTTCACTTGACCTTTAATGTTACACTCAGGCCCGGCATTATCTTCCTCATAAGTGCCCTTTGGCTGACTGAGGGTTTCTGCTTCTGGAGCTTCCAGATATAAAATGGGCATTGTGTGGCTGTGCGGTTTGCAGTGCCAGGAAGGTGCTGGGCCCTGGGGTGTGTGTGTGTGTGTGTGTGTGTGTGTGTGTGTGCACACATGTGTTCCTGTGCACACAGGCCTCGCTCACTGACCTCTCCCGCCACCCAGGTCTGAGCACAGTGGCTCCCCCTATTCACCAGGGACCCTCAGTGCCTACCGCGGTGATCCCCCTGCCCCCGGGGACCCACTTACTGTTTGCCCAGACTGGGAAGATTGAGCGCCTCCCCCTGGAGGGAAGCAACATGAAGAAGACGGAAGCCAAGGCCTTCCTCCACGTTCCGGTGAGTGCTGGCTGGTTGCTGGTTGCTGGTTGTACCTGGTGACAGCTCCTGCAGGACACAGTTAGACTGGCACCCCGGGCTCAGCCCCTGGAACCAGGGGCGCTCATCCCACGTGGCCCTAAATGACCATCTCTAGATGGGCCACGGCACTCCTGAGCTGCCCGTGAGGCTCCCGGAGAGACGGAGCGGCTGTGGGAAGGCAGTCAGAGACCCTCGGGCGAGGGCTTCGGCGGGTTTGGCACCTGTCCGTGTGCGTCTGCACGGTCCGATCTTTCCACTGCTGCTGAGTTCACAGTGACTCATCTTGCAGCAGCTGCTCAACTGAGGCTCCTCATACCTGCCCCGAGGCAGTGACAAGCTTTGGCTTAGAGGCTTTCAAAGCTTCAGAGGTGCATTTTGCAAGTTGGGGATTTTTGGATCCTGCTAAAATGCCATTCTGTTTTATCTGAGATCCTGACCTCTGCCAAGAACCCAAACTTGAGGCCTGGAGGCTTCTGCTGCAGGGCTGGGTCAGAGCTGTCAGAGAATTGGGAGGGGTGCGGGTGTCTTGTAAGTGCCAGTGGGGCAGGGGCAGGGGTCATCGGCTCTTGTGAATGAACATCCGCAGAAAGCCCTGTCATTCCTCAGTGGGGCTGCAGAGCCTTCTTGAAAATTCCTGGCGAAGATGCTCCTTGTGCCGTGCTGTCTGCCGTGGACCCAGCTTCCAGCTTTTCTCCTCTTCCTCCTTTCTCTACCCCATGTGTTTCCTGCTTTCCCTATTTTCTTATCCTGCCGCACTCTGCCATATCCCTTCTTCTTTTAGACCAGGGAGGAAACATCAGCAAAAAAATATCCAAAATAAAACACTTCTCAAAAGCCTCTTGCAAAGCAGCCTTGATCAGATTCATGTCTTTGCCCTGCACAAAATCCTCAAATGACTTCCTCTTCACTCCAAATAAAATCCACTCCTTTCTGTGGTCCTCAAAGCCTTATGGGATCTGGATACCTCTTCCACCCCGTTCCCCACTGTCAGGGTCGTCTGTCCAGATGTCCCCTCGTCCCTGGGTTCCCAGTGTCAAGAATGAGTACTGGTATTGAGTCAAGCCGATGGCGGAGTGATCACAGACACAGAGTAACTTTATACAAACAGTTTATCACATAAAAGAAAGAATGGAAGGAAGGAAGGAAGCTACACAAAGTAAAAATACATTCCAGAGAGAGTGGGATGGGTCAGTCTCCAGGAATGGAGAAGGACACTGGAGGCCAAGCACGGCTGCTGCCTTTTATATGCCCACTAGTTTGTCCCGCCTTTCCCTTGGCAGGATTGGTGGCCGTTCCCCACCTTTGGGGTGATTGACAAGTTGGGGTTATATAACAGATCACATGACAGGTTGCATAACGAGGTAGCTTATATAACAGTTTCCCTTTCTGCACATGCGTCTTTTCCAGAATTCTCCACGAAGCTCCACCCATGTTATGCTACTTAGATGGTAATGAACTTTAGGTCAGTTAAAGGTTACTAGGGACTTTTTACCATATATGTTCCCACCAGCAAACAGTTCCTAACTGCAGTTTGGTTCCTAGCTACAATTAGGTTCCCACTCTCTGCCCTTAGCCACCTCCTTGCCACCCTACACCAGAACTAGCACTACCATGCTCTCCTCACTCACTGGCTGCAGCCCTCTGGCTGTCTGGCTGGTCCTCGAACATGCCCAGCACATGTCCATCTCGGGGCCTTGGCACTTGCTATTCCCCCCGAGTGGCATTCCCTCACCCTGAGACACTCACACAGTTCGCTGCCTCACTTGGTGCAAATTTCTGCAGAAGCATCACCTGTGCTGACCCCCATCCAGCCAACAGCCTCCGCTGCCCTCTGCCTCCTTGTGCTGCTGTCTTTCATCAGCGGCACTGCTTGATGCATTACGTATCCATGTGTATGTCCTGTATCTCGTGTATCCATGTGTATGTCCTGTATCTCGTGTATCCATGTGTATGTCCTGTATCTGGTGTATATTTCTTCCCATCAACAATATCTGCAGCACAAGACAGGACATTGTCTATTTCACGGAGGTGTTGGTTTCATAGTGGTAATTATAGACCTAAAATTGTGCTTCCTATATGACAAGCACTCAAAACGAAATTTGCCACACAAATGCATGGTGATCGTTGCATTCTTCTGTTGCCGCACTGAAAACATAAATCCCTGGAAGATCACCCTTTGTCTTCTTTGTGTCCTCCAGCACTTGCTGTCAGGTGGCAGGAATGGGTTAAATTCCCTGTGAAAGTCATTCTTCCCCAAGACCAAGGGGAGAGGCTAAGTGTCCTGGGAGGTGATAAAAGACAGAGAATTTAGTTGGGATAAGTGAAGTTAGGGTGCTGAAGCAGCAGGATAAATATTCAGTCTTCCCCCTGCCCCATTTGTGAGTGTATAGTTCAGTGGTGTTGAGTACATTCATGGTGTAGTGCAACTGTCACCTCCAGCCATCTCCAGAACTGTTTTCGTTATCCCAGACTGGAACTCTGTGTTCATTAAACAATAACTCCTCCTTCTCCTCCATCCCCACCCCAGCCCCTGGCAACCACCATTCTACTTTCTGCCTCTATATAATTAACTCCTCCAGGTACCTGATGTAAGTAGAATTATACAGTATTTATCCTTTTGTGTCTGGCTTATTTCACTTAGCATAATGTCCTCAAGGTCCATCCATGTTGTAGCAGGTGTTGGGACTTCCTTCCTTTTTAAAGCTGAGTAATATTCTATTAGTGGATACACCATATTTCATTTATCCATTCATCCATCACTGGACTTTTGGGTTGCTTCCGCCTTCTGGCTATTGCACATAATGCTACTATGAACACTGGTATACAGATAGCTGTCCAAGTCCCTGCTTTCACTTCTTTTGGATTTGTACACCAAAGTGGAATTGCCGGATCATATGATAATTCTATGTTTAATTTTTTGAGGAGCCACCATACTGTTTTCCACAGTGGTTGTACCATTTTACATTCCCACCAGCAGAGCATAAGTATTTTAATTTCTTCATATCCTCACTGACACTGGTTATTTTTTGTTTTTGTTTTTGTTTTAGTAATAGCCATCCTATTGGATATAAAGGGGTAACTCATTGTAGTTTGATTTGTATTTCCCTAATGATTAGTAGTGTTGAGCATCTTTTTATGAGCTTATTGGCCATTTGAATATCTTCTTTAGATAAATGTCTATTCAAATCCTTTGCCCATTTTTTGATCAGTATTTTTTTTTTGTTATTGTTAAGTTGCAGGAGTTCTTTATATAGT